ACCTTCTTGCAGAAATAACCCTCTTTTGGATCCTGGTCAGCATCGATAGGGGGAGCAGGAGGGCACATGAAGGACACATACCATACACAACAAACGACACCATCAACGCGAGACCGATGAGCAGTGTGCAAAGCGTGGCAGCGCTCGCCCAGGGATGGGCCACACCGCCCCAGGAAAGGCCGATCAGGAACAGCACACAGCCAGACACGTAGAGAAAGATGCCGACAAAGTCGAGGTCCTTGGTCATCTGCCACCTCGTCTTGCCCTGAACATGAAGCTGGCTATACGTCGGTGGGTGGTAGAAGAAGTAGTAGAGCACGAGGGAAGCGGCGCCGAGTATGTCGCCCATGAAGTAGCTCCATCGCCACTTGGAGGACGTGTTGTTGAAGAGTGAGCGCGCAATGACAGGACCGAAAACGGCAAAAGGGAGAGACGACAAAAAGACGATGGTCACGATAGGACCTCTCATCTTGTTGGGCACGAGCTCGCCGAGAACGATGCCGAAGGAGAGCTGGCCGGCGGCTGCGATGCCGTTGCACACGTTGGCGGCGATCAACGTCTCGACGTTCTGTGCACAAGATCCGATGATGCACCCCACGAGACCGAGGACGGTGGTGCCGAGAACCATCCACCGGCGACCGTACATGTCGGAGAGACGTCCAAAGAGGAGGAAGCCGATGGAGCTTCCCATTGTCCAGAGAGTGGCCACCCAGCTGATGTTGACCGAAGGGCCGATATCTGCATTGATGAGCAGCCTGGACGATGTGTCAGTAGTTCGTCTTAAGGGAGAACGAATGAGTAGTCAAGGTGGGTATGCATACAGGGTATTTGCGGGCAGGACCCAGCCCAAGTACGCACAGATGCTGCCGAGACATTGAGCCTTGAAGATTCGCTGAGTATCAGCCAAGATCATTATAAGTGTTGAGTTGAGAAAGACAAACCACCACGGTCCCGACGAAGCTGGCGCTGCGGAAGTATCCCTTGGGCATCTCGTCGTACTCTCCACCAATGGCTTTGGCATCGATAAAGTCGACAGTGCCATCCGTGTGGACAACCTTGGCCACATTGCCGTCGTGTTCGAGGACCTGACGGATGTCGTTGCCGTCAGTCTCAATGTGACGAGTATGGGACTTGCCATCGACATCAGTCCGTCCATCGGAAGACATGATGGCGGATGAAATTCGGACGTGCACACGACGGAAGTGCGTCAATCAGGCTTGCTTGCTGGAGTGTAAAGGCAGTGACAATCGGTCAGATCCAAGGATATGAATGTGCTAGGCGATCATAGTGCTGCATGACCTCCCCCAAGAGAACAGGAAAGGGAGATTATATGTATAGCACGCACGTACCGCACGAATGGAAGATGCCACCCGGGTCGATGCACACCCAGCCTGGTGTAAGCAAGAAGCTCGAGGTTCCGGATCCCGGGAAGTGCGGAGGGGACACAATCGCGTCCCCGCGAAACCCCAGATGACCCCAGACACTAGCTATGGGAGGGGGAAGGCAGCTGGAAGAGCTAAGACTAGGAAGGTATGGTCAAGGTTTTGGCGTCCCATGTTCTGGGGACGCGCACGAGGCGCTGGCATGAAAAGACTCTTGTCTATTCAGGGCGGACTGTTCGTAACATGGGTATTGACCTGGAATGCGCTCTGGACATGTTGCCCAATTCTGAGCATGAAGATTATGACGACAATGCCTAGTAGACTGTTGCGAGGTCTTGAGTTCTTCATGGCTATAACGTTGACTGGTTCACTAGGTACGCTCCCAAAAAAGCACATCTATCGGCAGAATTGACTATGAGCCGTGTCCCACTGCTGTCGCTGCCATGCCTTCATCTCCCTCCAGCCATTGCGAAACAATCCTCTCTCGCTGGTGTATCGTGGAAGAGGGGGGGGGGGCTTGTCAGTTAGCTCACATCCTTCTCGAGTTGGCACTGAATCGCGAGCAGCACACGTAAGGTGAGGACTCAAAGACCTCCATGACTCGAAAAGATTCAGGATTGGGCGACTTGAGCCGTGCCCTGAAGCGAAGCTGGGCAAAAAAGACAAGGGACACACAGCGAGGGTAGGCTGGAGAAGGAAAACGATGTCCGGGACTCAAAAGGCTGGGGCCCGGGCAGGTGTACCCACTCGGACGCCGAACACGGTACTCGAAGGGTACTCAATCGAGGCCGTCAATACAATGGATCACTTGAGTCCCCCCAAGTCTCTCTTCAAGGGCGTAGGATATCTTACCCGCACATTCTCCCCAGTCCTCGTCCCGCACTCACGAAGCCGAGTTGGTCAGGCACCCAACGCCATCATGTAGACTTGACCGATTAGGAGACAGGGCGCCAACTCGACGTTCCTTGTTACTGCTAGCTCAGGTGTTAGAAGGGTTTCCGCCGTATTCGGCTCTTAAGCCACATCGTGCCATTCAGCACATGGCATCGCAAACTCAACCACCATCAGACCAATCGCTTGAATTCCCTAAGGGACGCTTCCTTAGACAGAGCGACAGCCATCGTAGTATCCATGAGATCTGCGGTGTCAAACTCGGGGCTTCGTCGTATTGACATGCCTTCGAATCCATGAGATCACATTACTGCCGACCTCTTGTTCTCGGCTGGATTTTGCCGCATGTGATATGCCCAGAGGTCCAGGCGGTACGGCTAGACTCGCTGTCACGCGAGAAGGACGCATTATTGATTTCAGCCTAGGAGTGATAACTTTACGAGTTCGCGAGGACCCCCGAATTTTCATACTGTCATCTGCCACCCATTGGTCTTGCTTTGACGACCAATGATACATGGTCATTCTTCCAGGGTTCGTTGTCAAAACGGAGCAGGGCCTCTGGACATCAAAGAGACAATCCACATTAACCATCAAGGGGTCATCTAAAGAACATGCTACGAGATAGAACGGATAAGATTGGTGTCTTGGAATAAGAACCTGGGCCGTCTGCCCTTTCGGCAGCTTGGTGGCCGAGCGCTAGGTTCAGCATGTTGACACTCCAGTAAAAGCGAGATACAAAGACTCAAGATGCTTCGGTATACTTCCGAAAACTGGTGATGTACCGAGCTGATCTTGGCGCCTACTTGATGATCCCAGTGTCGAACCACTGTGGAGATGGGATACGTGTGAGCTTCTGCCCAGGTGCATCTACAACATCGTTTTGTCCACAAGCGAGGAAAAGCCGTAGCAAGATGTCTTCCGTTCCCAACCATCGTTCTGTGCCAGCGCAGCGGCCTCGAGTTTCAAGACACTAGGAGAACGATATCCCTTGGTCTGTCAAGGATGGTGTTGCCTAACTACCAGTGACATGTTACGGACCAAAGGAAGCTATGAGCACGACAGTCCACGACTTCTGTCCTTGTTTCGGGGGTGGCACCGAGGAATTGATCTCATATCAAGTAACTCACACCTATAAAGTTTCTCGGCTTGTCCCGGTGCTCCATCACGAAGTGTTTCTTCAGTCTAGCGTAGGGTGCCTCGGACGCAAGCACCGCGTCAGCACCCCGTCTGATCGCTGGCTGCAGCTGTCTTCCACACCCAACCCAAGGCATTCTGAAGCGTAGCCTTATCCGCACCTCTCGAGCGCCTTTTCGCAGGGCCTCGACCGGTCTAAACGCAGCGTCATTGTGCGGGCCTTGGCTGAGGTGTGGCTGGCCAGCTGTTGGAGCGTAAGAGAGTAGTCTTTCAGGGTAGTCTATCAAGATCATATCCTTGACCTTGGAGTGTCTAACGCGCTCCAGCTCTTTGCTCAAACAGTTGACTGCAGATAACGAAGCCACGCTGGATCGAAGCCGCCCATACCCCCAGAGCTCGGTCTGCAGTACAGCCCCTGAGCCGCATTACACTCTTGGTTATCCTTTTCCGCTCAACACTTGGTGGAGACGGCCTGACCCTTACAGACTCCTTAAACTGGAAATGGCAGCGATGTCGCATCCGAGTGCGTATAATATTCTGAGGATGGGTCTCGATGGCTAGTAAAACCATGTACTGCCATTCCTCGCACCTCTTAGAAGACGCACTTGACATTTGCCCTGACCTTACAGAAGTTGAATGACCGCCCGGTTTGTAACATGACTGAAACTAAATCGCCAGGCAACTCCTGACAGCTCGCCTTTACATCCCATCAAGTCTGTTGGCGCGCTGATCTGGTAGCAGTCGAAGGACCATGACCGGGCGTCTCTTCGACAGATTAGCAAGGACATCCCCTTGAGATCCAAGGCTTTCCGAGCCTTCTTTGACGTGCTAATGAACCCCCATCGAACAGCAGCATGTTGAGGCACATCGGGGGTGGTATTGTGGAGGGCCTACAATCGGATTCATAAGTGAAAGTAATCCAAGACTGTCGTGGACTTGTCGAATTGAGTGATGAAGCAGAGAGGCGTAAGCATGACCAACCGAAAAATTGAAAGGACATACCCGATGGAGGGTGTCATCAATGGCACAAAAAGCGGAGTGTATATATGATATTGGGCAGCTCGTGGTCTACGCGCGACGTCAACGTATTGTCACAACATGTCTCTCCGTTGCAGTAATCGCGAACGCTAGATATTTGATGACATTGGTGAGCTCCATAGACAACACGCGCCATTCATTCTGCGTCGTGGTCTGGACAACTACCTTAGCGTTGTAATGCAACGACGTAACCAATGCTGTTGAACAACTCTGGTGAAAATCTCACCAGGCCAGCCTCGGATGGCGGGCAGCCAGCCGGGTAGCGTAAGCCTTGCCCAGACGCCAATAAATGCAGCAGCCAGTCTTCTCCATGTGATGATGCCAAAGGAACAAGAGGGCGATGATTGTCATACCCATTTCATTAAACCGTGGCTCGAATTCTTGCCCTCCTGTCCAATAGGGGGGTTGTGAAAGCATATACTTCCAACATGGACCGTCCATTCGAGAATCGATCAAGTAGTAAATGCTCTCACGCCGCGCTCGCCAGCGTGGATGTGTGTTCGGATGCGTACAAGTGAAACTGTGCAAAGATAACCATGTCCTCGGCGATGGTACCGAGGGACCCAACCAACCACGGCAGGGCCTTGAGAAGATAGTGCGGGTCCTGTGAGTACGCGATCAGACTGGCGCCGTATGAAAGGTTGCCCGTCAAGGACAGGAGGAAGAATAGCAGGGCGAGTCCTTCGCATGACTTTTCGCGGTAGTTCTTGACAATCTGGGGAACGCGTGCGCTGAGAGCAGTGAGTTTTTCTGTCCTTGGCAGCGCTGGCTCAGGGAGGTTGACTTACAGGAGGTAGCAGACAGCGCTGAAGTAGCCGAGGGCCAGACCGATCTTGGCCATAGTGCCGTCCTCCTCCGGCGACTGGGGGTCCGACGATCCATGGTCGGCATCCCAGGCGCCGGCCTTGTATGAGATGAACCAACCGGCAGCACCGACAAGCCACACAGCAAGGAGGCTTAGGGTGTTGTGCAGCCAGGGGTTGCTGTCGGGCGTATCGTCCTCGCCGGTCACGATCTTACGCAGCGGCTCGAGTGATGTTTCGGTGTGGACTTCGTGGCGCCTCTGCGACCCAGGCAAGCCAGTGGAAGATGTGCGGCGGCGCGACTCGTTCAGTAGAGGATCTTCCTCCCCTGGGGCCTGGTCGTCTGTGGCGCGCGGCTGGCGGTGACGCGAGGAGCGGCGAGCATTCTTCGCGTTATAATACATGGATTGGCTGATCAGGACGATGTCGGCAATACAGAAGTAGAAGGCAAGGGCGACAGCGCTCGGTGCGAGATGTGTGAACAGGGCGCCTATAGTGTTGCTCAAGTTAGCGGTGTGTTCGCGAGCTGGACGTATCAGATTGAGCCTGTGAGGATGGCCTTGCCACTTTGGGCAGTACAGGCCGTGAACTCGCGATGAAAGATCGCGAGAGGGCAGGGAGGCATGGTAGGTTCCACGAAGAGCCATGAGATGTATTGCGGGGGCACGAACCAACGAGGTTGGTTATATCACCAAGCAGCCAGATGAACAGAAAGCCCATTGAAAGGCCATCGGCACTCTGCGCCCTATAATTGGCGATGAGCTGGGGCAGCTGGGAACAGCGTCAGTCCGAGAGTCGTGCATTGGAGGGTCTGAAGCTGTGGCGGGCGAGGAGGGGTTACCAGAAGGCAGATCCAAGCTGTCAGGCTGATGCTTCCAAAGATTCCAGATAAGGAATCGCGAACCGTAGGCGTGTGATGCGACAGGGCCATGATGGCCGTAGGGATGATGGAAGCCATGTTGCTGAGCGGCTCGCTGGGAGTTGTGAAGGAGGAGGACAGTCGTGGGGCCGTCGAGAAGGAAACCTGCAAGTTCTCCTTCCAAGGCTTTTCCTTTGCAGCAGCGAACGATACAGAAATGGCTGGCGTCGGTCAAGCCGAGTTGAGTCAGGTGGGAATGGAAAGGTGTGTGTCACGCTTTCTTCAGCTTGCAGGACGCACCTTCCCTTAGTGGTGCGCTACAGATGCTGCTATCGAGCTTATCGCGCCAGAAATCGGTCCCTGCAGCGCCCTGTAACCCAACGCGCAGGTCTCAGTGGCTGGTTAGCCTATGACGTCGTCGGCCTAGCGGGCTGCTTGCAGGTCCCCGCATCTCCGACCTCGCAGGCTACAGCCAATCAGCTCGGTGGAGTTTCCAAGTCCGAATCACCAATGGGTGGTGTCTCTTTGTCACATCAGAGAGCGGTCCGAATAGCATCAATGGCAGCCGCAAGCCAGTAAAACCCATCATAGGATCCATGGGTCTGTGTTTCGATATTGATAAACCCCCTCCATTGAGAGATATGATTCTGAGTTTCAGGGTCAAGCTCCCACTCTCACATTGTCTAGGTATTTCGACACACCCTGGTCGCGCGATCGGGGGGTCATCATCGCCTGCCGCGGTTAGTTCTAGGTTCATGACTGAGGAACCATCAAAAGGAGTGTCATGACATTGAACGCGGAAGTTTGCCTTGAATTGCATGGCGATCTCTACTATGATCATTGTCGCCGCGACATGTCAAGCAAGCTCGCGCATCGCCCTCAAATGTCATGCTATCGGCGATGTCTTGTGGCCATCTCTCACGCTGGCGCTGACTGCTCTTCCAGGGGTTGACTCACTGATTGTGGCTGGCACCCAGAGCACCCAGCACGTGCAGCCAACCTATGACCCAACCAGTACCTAAGAAAGGTACCTAAACGAATCATCTGTTTCAGCACTGTCTCCAACGCCCACTATGATTCGCTAAGGGCGACGAGGTTCCTGTGCCAACTCAGCTTGAGTTGGCCGACCACATGGCCGCCTGGAGGGATGCGATCGCCCATCCACCCATCCTGTGACCTTGAAGACGCGACGAGCTGGCCATATCATATAACAAGCCTGCCTCCATAAGAACGTATACCAACTGTTCATTCCGGTCGCTCACCATAACATACAAAAACTACTTTTGACCTTGCGATATGAAACTCACCCAGACAGTAGCTTTGCTGAGTGCAGCGGCACAGGGGACGCTGGCTTGGGGCAGTATGTAACAGTCTGCTTTGAGTAGCCATCTTGCAGGATGAGAAGTTCTTCGAACATGTGCTAATGGCTGCTGCAGGTCTTGGACACGTCACGACGGCATACCTCGCCAGCCATTTCGTCTCCAACACGACTGAGGCCTTCTTCCAAGACCTCTTGCGCAATGATACGGCGGACTACCTCGCCAACATTGCCACATGGGCCGACACGATCCGGTATACGCGCTGGGGCCACTTCACTGGCATCTTTCATTTCATCGACGCCAAGGACGATCCACCGTCATACTGCGGCGTCGAGCTCGACCGCGACTGCAAGGAAGAAGGCTGTGTTGTTACAGCACTTGCCAACTACACGCAGCGGGCGCTGGATCCGGAGCTGAGCGCATGGGAACGAAACCAGGCGGCCCGCTTCGTCGTGCATTTCATCGGTGACATTCACCAGCCGCTGCATGACGAAGACGTCTCGAGGGGAGGTAATGGTATCCACGTGCTGTGGGAGGGAAAGGAGTTCAACCTGCATCACGTATGGGACAGCTCCATCGCTGAGAAGCTCATCGGCGGAGCGAGGCGGCGACCATATGATAACGCTAAAAGATGGGCTGATGGACTTGCAGAGGAGATCAAGACTGGCAAGTTCGCGGATGAGAAGGCCGAGTGGCTGAAGACGGTTGACTTCAACGATGTCGTGGGCACGGCGCTGTCGTGGGCGCGAGAGGGCAACGCATATGTCTGTACCCATGGTAAGTGTGTTGCTGCTAAGCGATGAGTCAACTCATACCCCGTCAACCAAGCGTACGAATGGCTTCTGACAAAACCTTGGCAGTTCTGCCGGATGGACCCCACGAAATCGTAGGACAGGAACTGGGCGGGACCTACTACGAGAAGGCGGCGCCGGTGATTGAGCTGCAGGTCGCTCGAGCTGGCTACCGTATGGCTGCCTGGCTCGATCTCATCGCGGATGAATTTGAAGCCAGCAAGGTTCAGCAAGGCGACTGGCAAGAGCTTTAGTATGGCCATTAATGAATGTTCTTACCTGCGGCACACACAAACCTACATTTTCTGGTCGTATTGCAAACAAGTTTGGGAGTCTCTGATGTGTCCTGACTGTCAACGCAGCAACCATTGGCGGCAACGACCTCCGTCTAGCCAGGGTGCCATGGGATCGTCGACGAAGGAGGCATGGCTCGGACACGTCAGCATGGGCACTCGCGGTAATCAAACTGACAGCCGTTCCTGCCGAGACTTTTTGATCTGCTGGTTGAGTACTGTAGATTGACTCGCTAGGTTTGATTTGCGCCATCTCCGCGTTTCTTGGTAGGCTCGGCAAGGCATTTCCGCCCCTGGATCCCCCATAAAGTGGCGCCATTTTGCAAGAACGACCTGGGCCTGTGAATTTGGAATGACCTTTCGCGTGGAAGCATCGGAGAAACAAAGACTACGACTTTGCAGCGATGAAAGTCAAAGTACGGGCCGATTTGAGGTGTGATGTCAAGGCGTCTTGAGATGAAATGTGACATCCGAAGTGCAGTACCATTTCGCAACGCAGACCCGCCACCACGGGGACTTGGAAAGCTATTATCAACTCTGTTTGCAGTACGACGTCGTGCTGCATAAGAAAGTCATGGTGATTATTCAAGTGCTGGAGTCGAGATTGGGGCGACGTTCAGGTCACGGAAGCACGGCGATTTGAGCTTGGCCTTTACGGGTGAAATGAAAGAAAAAAGCGTGTTTCCATGTGATCTTCGCAGCATGGCATCGGTAGCAGTTTCAAGGTTCGGCTGGGTAGACATCTATCTACCTGTGTAGATGGCGATACATACAAGACCAAGTGCCCCACGTCAGCTGAACATAGCGACGTCAAGATCGGGGCGGCTTGGGACGGCTGGGAATGACACTCTGCCAGCAAGGAAGGCAACGAGATCAAGAGGATGAGAGTGCGGTTTCCAAAGGGGCACGTCAAGCAGTTTCACCATGTCCACTGCAGTCTCGAGTACGCCCTCAGGTTACAGAGTTGGACGCTGGCCCAAGCACACCCAGTCCCTATAGACAGGGGTGGACACAGCCAAGCCATTGGCATGGCTGTGGCCCTGTGGGACATAGGAGACGCGCAGAATGTGGTGTCCCCGGATGCCGAAACCCAGACACGATATGAAGATAAGGTTGATGGTTGTAGTGACGCAAACATATCGGCGAGCCGGATGCTGCAGTACCATGTAGTGTAGCAAGTGCGCTGAAGTACGGTTTCTATAGGTGAGGTCGGGTATCCGGCGCTATCGCTTGGTTCTGCCTGCAGTTGCTGTATGGCGGAACGCGGAAGTCTCCTCTGGCGGGACCAGAAAGAAACTAGGTTCGTTTTGCCAGCCTGTCTGAGCTCTCTCCCGCCGAATTTGTTTCCATTCAACGTCGTCCCATAAGCTGTGTTTGTCGAGATTGATAGACTATGGACAGTGGCTTGTAACTCATGCTTCCGTAGCAATTGGGTAAAGAGGCCAATCGGAACGCCAAGAGAGACTCGGAGACTTGAAGCGCGCCAAGGCGGGACGATGGGGCACTCAGACTCTAACTCTAAAATTCAGCGTGCTCCACGTGAACGCCCCCCCCCCCTACCCCCAAAAAGGCCCTGCCTGCACTGCATGTTCAGGGGTTCCGCCAATGTCTGGGCAGGGGTGTCCAGAGAGGAAGAGGCAGTGGTGCTTGATTCAGTAGTCGGCTGGTCCTGGATGATACAGGTCCGGGATGATAAAGGATTGAGTGGAATAGCGCGATGTTTGCTGCCTCCCTGGTTGCTGAATATCATAGGAACATTCTTCTCTTGCTGACGCCGAGTGCAATGTGATGTGCCTTGATCATCCGAACTTCCGGCCAAGACGTGAAGGCCTGTCAGTAATCGTCAGAGCGCCCTGGTCGGGACACCCCAAGCCTCGCAAGGGCACCCTTCAGATGACAAGACAAATGCTCGGACGTGTATCTCGTTGGCAGGACGGTGCGGAGCGAACGAGAGCGCCCAACGCCGACAACGACAGCGACGGAGCAATTGATGTTTGGTGCTAATGAACGGTTTGTCGCACTATCAGACCAGCTGCCGTCTGATATTCCAACAGTCGCTTGCCCAGGTCGGCTGCCCGCCCTTTCACGGCCAATCAATTGATGCCGCCGCTTGCTCGTGTCGTCGTGGTGCGGATGGCCGTTTACCATGGCCGCGCTTGGTCGACTTTGGCCGGCTTCCGTAGATCGACAATGTGAAGACAATGGGCACGTATGCGCTTCAATCATGTCCGGGAAGCGCTTCGCCTGACACTGGTAGCCTCACATCCCGACGAGATGGGAAGGAACGCTGGAGACGGAGGGTGTATGCATGTGGGGGTGGTCGGGACGACTGCTATTGGCACATTGCTGTGGTTGGGAAAGAAAGACAGATGGAGATGGAGAGGGAAGAGAACACTGCGATATGGGGCAGGCACCAGGGGGGGGCCACGGTCGCGCCTGCACTGAGCTTAGCCCACCCCCTGGACCGTCTCGACTTGCTTCATCGCCGCCTGAGCTCAGGCGGGACGAAACGCCATGTGCCTGATGTCGCTCACTGCATTGCCGCCATTGGTTCGCTGAGCACCACAGGAGGTCCACTGATCCTCTCCTGCGACGACAGGAGCCGCATGCGCCTTCCAACGACAAGATGCCTCCTTTTTTGCCTACTCCTCCACGCCTCTCCGTCCTTCTCTGTCATCTGCGTACTACTTACTACAAGGATCCATCGGCCCTTGACTCATGATTACGGCCAAGACACGCTCCGGAGACCATCTGTGCGATGGTCCAGATGAATGAAGTGAGCACGCAGCCGCGGGTGTGCATCATGGCTTCTCCTACTGCTACACAATCCGACAAGCCGGACGCAACCAATGACACCTTCTCAGGACCTTGCCGTCCAAGAAACCTATCCCTGTATGCCATCTGCTAAGCATCCAGATACAGGCACCCCGGCATCAGAACTTGCGATGCCGTCACATGGCCCAGCAGAGACGGACAGCCACCCCTGTTCCCCTTGTCGCATCCTCCGTCTTCAGACAACGCTATCGAGAAGTCTCCAGCATGTCCCAACCTGTCTTGTTTGGGGGGGCGGCCCGCCCTCTCGTCATCGCGCCTTCGGTCCAAACACCAAGGGACGACCTGTCAGCCCTTTCTCAGACCCTCGCCGCGCTCTCTCAAGGCCCCTGCGCCGTCGTGTTTGGGATCCGTGGAGATCCCACCCGCGGCTGCTGTTCGCCCTCGCCCTCGCCGTGCTTTGCCAGCCCTGCGCATAGTCAAGACTTGACCAGGGTACGGCTTCGCTCGACTATTTTGCCAGATGCCTCCCCTCCTCCATTCGTCCCATCCATCATCCGCTTCTTCTTCTTCAACCCCTCCCTTTTCGTTTCTCCTCCTTCTCCCTTAAACGCTGCGAGTGTGTCTTCACCTCTGCCTTTCATTCATTTTCAGTCTTCTTTTGCATGTTCCGAAGTCTGTGACTGATCGCTCCTTTTCTACGTCTCCTCGACAACAACGGTCTGGTACCACCTTACTTTCAGTTCAACTTTCGCCCTTTTAGTCTCCTCGACGGACCTGTACATCAATTCTTCAGTTTCGATTTGAGACGATAGATTCGATCAGTCAACAACACATTCTCACCCCACCGAGACAATCACAAGCATACCATCACCATGCAGATCAAGAGTGTTCTCATCGCCGTCGCCGGCCTTGCCGCTCTGTCCGAGGCCTCGGTCATCCCTGGCCCCTCTCCCTTCAGCAGGACGCTCGCTCGTCGCCAGTTCCGAGGCGGTCAGGGAGGCGGTCAAGGAGGTAACAACGGCGGCAACAACGGTGGGAACAATGGTGGTAACAACAACAACAACAACAACAACGCGGCAACAACAACAACGGAGGAAACAACAACGGTGGAAATAACAACAACGGCGGCGGTAGTAAGTATCACAGAGCATCTGTCAGTCGCTCACCCAGTCACTAACACTCTTCGTAGACGCCGGCGCCACCCAGGTCTGTCTCGTTGACGGTGTCCTTCAGGAAGGTTCAAACCAGGCTGGCCAGCCTGCTGATGGGGCCGTTGCTTCCGCCACGGACGACTCGAACTTCATCAACTTCTGCCAGGGAGAGGACTTGACCAACGGTGAGCAGAAGACTGGCGGCTCTTGCAACGGTATCCCTATGGGCAAGATCCCAGCCCAGAACAACATGGTCTCCAGCATTCTGGTCAACCCCGCCCACAATGACAACATTGAGGCCAACACCGACTTCGACATCCAGGTCCAGGTTGACAACTTTGCTCCTGGAGCTTTCACCGATGCGCAGAGTACCTACTATTCTGCCCCCCAGGACCTCGATGGTCAGGCCGCATCATTTCTCACACTCATGTCACCGTTCAGACCTTGGGCGGCAACCTCACCCCTGACCAGCCTCCTGACGCCTCTACCTTTGTCTTCTTCAAAGGAATCAACGATGCTGGCAACAACAACGGCCTTCTTTCCGCCACTGTCACTGGTGGTCTGCCTGCTGGCAACTACCGTGTCTGCACCATGTTCGCAGCCGCAAACCATCAGCCCGTGATCATGCCAGTCGCCCAGCGCGGTGCCCAGGATGACTGTAAGTCGACCATGACCCATGATGATGATCTCTCCCTGACCAGTCACCAGGCAACAAGTTTACTGTCGGCGGTAATGGCGGTAACAACAACAATAACGGTGGCAACAACAACAACAACGGTGGTAACGGCCAAGACCAAAATGCAGGCAATGGTCAGGGCCAGAACGGTGGTAACGGCCAAGACCAAAATGCAGGCAATGGTCAGGGCCAGAACGGTGGTAACGGCCAAGACCAGAACGCAGGCAATGGTCAGGGCCAGAACGGCGGTAACGGTCAGGGCCAGAACGGTGGTAACGGTCAGGGCCAGAACGGCGGTAACGGTCAGGGCCAGAACGGCGGGAATGGTCAGGGCCAGAATGGAGGTAATGGCGCCGGACAGGGCGCCGGCGCTGGTCAGGGTCAGGGTCAGGGTCAGGGCGGAGGCTTTGGTGGTGGCTTCGGCGGTGGCTTCGGCGGAGGCCGCGGCCAAGGTGCGTAATGTGAAGTATAAAACTTAGATTGAATCCTTCCTAACATCGACCTAGGTGGCCAGAACCAGGGTGGTAACCAGGGTGGTGCTGATCAGACTGCCGATCCTGCTGCCGATGCGACTGCTGCACCGTCCGCTGACGCGACTGCCGACCCTGCTGCCGGAGAGACTGAAGCCGCTGACGGTGCGAATGCCGGCGCTGATGGAGGACAGGGTGCCGGCGGTGCTGGCGGTGCTGCTGCGGCCAATGCCGTCGGCGGTATTGCAGCGCCTGAGATCTCCGACTCTGGCAACGCCGATCGCCCGTTTGAGGTCAACGGCAACACCTTCACCAACCGTCAGACCGCTGCCCAGAGAGCTTGCGACATTCAGCAAAACCAGTGTGCGGACGCCGTCAACGGAGGCGGCGGCGCTGGCTTCGCTCTGTCTGACTGCCAGGGACAGGTCGCCGCTTGCGTGGCTGAGCTTGCCTGAGAAGCCTGAGAGACCTGAGAAGGCTCTCTGGTGCAACTCTCACAACCCCCTTAACTCCCCTTGTGTGCTGCCTCTCTTCAGAGCGGGACCGAGTCTACGTCGGTCATGAGTGACCCGATGTCCTACATATCTATCTTCTAATGTTTGCCCCGAAGTTCATGTATCTGTTGGCTGTATGCCATCCCGAAGAGGGTGGGAGGGATTTTGTTTGCCGTTGACATAGGATATGCAAGATTTGACTAGAAAAGGAATTGAAGACACATTCCAGCAGATACCTGTGTTCTCCCATGCCATCATGGTACAGGGACTGATCATGTCACTCCAAGTAACAGAGAATGACAGCTAGCAGGACTTGCTCCTCCGGCCTTCAACTTGGCTTGCGTAGCCAGACTTCCCAAGACTGGTCTTGCTGGCCACGGTTCGTGCAGGAGCAGTTCCTGAATACTTGCGTCTCACCTCCGAGCTCTGGGCCTTAAGGAGCACTGCTCATGCGTTTTGTGCCGGAACGTCTGAGCCTGGGTTCTGAAACGGGGCGGAGGCGTCTGGTGTGGTGGCCGGGATGTCCGAGGGGCCTTGGGACGAGACGACGTGGCCGGCTGAGCAGGGATGGAAGATTAAGTTGGAATCTGCCAATATGCGTGCAATTTTCAGAGGGGTTTTAGAAAAGCCCGCACTGGCCCATGAGTTCTTTTCGGCATCTTGTCCGTGGGTTGTGTTTGGTGTGTGGTATTTTCTGATGATGGTAAGGTTGCGCTGTTCTTACAATTGAGGCCAGCCGGGAGCAAGAGCGTTAGGTCTGGTCTCATGAGGAGGAGGGTGTCCGTTTTGGGTCTGTCAAGTCCCTTTACCAACTCATTTTGATTCTCACTGAGTGAGCGTTGCATCGTTTGCGCGGCTTCGGGACGTTACAGTAACGTGACATTGGCGATCGTTAGGCTATTGCCCCAGGATGGGGTAAATCGTCCATTTAAAGTGCCGACGGGATGAGGGTGCGAGCTTATGCTTACCTAGGTAGCTACTCAATATGCTACGTCTCCTTACGAAACAAAGGGTCGTCAGATGTCACGCATGCGTAAACCTTATAACAACACGCCAAAGAAAGTGTCCCAGTCACTGCCAGCGAAGACCAACACTGCTCATCCCCTTACCACGGCGAGCGTTGGCATCTAGTTCAACGCACCTTGCAATGCAGTCGTTATTTTCCCAGGAGTAGCCGAAGTCATCGTCTCAGCAGGCAGCCAACGCTCCCATGCCTTCTCGGACTGCCACTGTAGCCTCTCTCGCTCGAGCGTCGAGGCCATGGGCTAGCTAGCAACTGGTAGGACTACGAAGCGTCTGTTGTGTCCTCGGGACGCTGCCTTTTTTTCTTCTTTTTTTTTCTTTTTTGCGAGAATTTTCTGGCGCCCATGATCGCGACTTAATGTTTCCTTCGTGAATATCGTCACGAAGAGATGAATATCCTGCAACAAAACAACATGGTTATCACGTCATTTGGGAATTCTCAGGTTTCCAACAGCTGGCAGCGGGCACGAAGCTCTTGCAAGCACAAAAAGAGAGCGACAGACGTGAGAACCCCAAAACGTTTCCAAGGTCGTACATGACAAAGGTCTCATCAAACGTGCCAGAGTGTGTTCCATGGACGTAAACTGCACAACAAAAGTCCCATCCTGCTCGCCGCTCAATGACATGGCTCACGACTCACCTCGACCCGGGATCGACATGAAGTCTTACCAACAAACAGACTGGTTCGTTCGCTTACTGCATCTCCGGAATGTTATGCTTGAAAAGTACTCAAAGATGAAAGACGTGTTATGGGAGCATGGAAACATTGAGCAGAGGGACAGCGATTTGGTCTCACAACCCCCCCCCGTGCCATTGTGCACAGACTTAATTGGTATAAAGTTTTATTGGGCCGCTTGCTCGAGCCCCTACATCGGCAACGTGGCCATATACATAATGAAGAGAATAAAATGGAAGCTATAGTCATGTCTGTGCTGTCTCTTATCTCGTGAGACCTTGGCATTGGCCCTGGCCCCAGCCTCGCCCGAGCCAGACCTGCCGAATGCGCCGTCCGACCAAACGCCAGGAAAACGCTGAACAATGCAAATCGAAGGTGGTACAACAAAACAGTACTCGTACCCCAGCTCCAGTCGGGCTGGACTCAGAAAGACTCGCTCGCACAACGTCGTGTCTCATTGTATTTTGATGGCTTCGAACAGAGACAAGCTCAGAGCCGTGTCGTTTTCGCCCACAATCGGCGACGGCTCACTCAGTAATTCCCATCGTCGGAATATGTACGGTGTCAATCTCGCAGAACCCTGCACGCTAATGGGGATCTTCGGTCTGGGCGGTCCATTTGACGGTGGCGTTGGCGTCTGTCGATGCGCGAGCATGAATTGCTCCATCCAAGGCGCGGCGTAGCTGAAAAGATATCGTATCCTAGCGTCAGACGTAACGGGCGTTTGAAGTGACCCTCCGATGAGGATGGCGCGCACGCACTGCAGGCGTGACTCTTCGGGTAAATGATCAACGAGGAATAGGGCGAGGTCGAAAGTCGCCTGTCGTAGTTGCCGACCAGAGCTTGCTTCCTCACAGCTGATGTATCAAGCTCAAGCATGATGCCGGACAGCACGACAAGCATGCGTGCGCGAACGTCATTGGCCGCCGCCGTCGTGGGTGGTTTCATGCTGGCTGGCTGCGTGGGCGACAACACCGGCTCGTTTGCCGTCGTGTGAAGTGTGATGAACTTTAACAAGATGGGCAGCCAATGCTCGATAATCGCCATCCTCAAGTCCTTCCCAACTATTTCCGTGGCCGCCAGCAACTCCCAAAGCTCCGTCAACTTTTCTACCATGGACATGTTGAGTTGAGTAGCCTTCAGTGCTGGCCGCCCACGAATGATAGCCTCGACGACCGATAGCAGACTTTCTGACAGTCGGATCGTGTCCTCAGATGAGTCCCTGGCAGTCGACATAGTCTTGAGCGATGGTACTAGGCTGAAGAGCCTCGTCTGAGCCTGCCGCTTGAGATGATCTGTGATTTCCTCGCTCAGATAAGGCAGCACACTTGTCCACATCATATTTTTCGTCTCCACGGCCTGGTCCAGGGCTTTGGACAACATGTCAACGTGAGACGGAGGCTGTTCATCTCCACTGCTGCCACCCGCTTTGCTCGCTGCCAGGCCTATCGACAATTTCAACTGGCAGAATGGGAGCGTAAAGTCGTTTGCGAGCTCCAGCACCGTTTCGAACGTCATAGGATCACTCGGATCCCGAGTCGGCGCCAGCAGCCTTGTGGTGATACTAGCAAGCACCTCGCTCAGCGGCGAGTCTGCAAGCTTGGTGCCAAGAATTTGCACGGTGGTTGGAGAATCGTTCAGCACAAGAAGTCGTAGTAGATCCAAAACATCGTCTTGAAGATCTTGCTGGGCCAAAGGGGCATTTGTTGACATTTCGGAATTTTGCAGCTTGGAATACTCGATGAGCGAATTCCTGACAAGTACAGCCAGCTCCCTGTGGTGTTGCTGTGGTGCCACCCGCTGCTGTACATAGAAGCGATATGCTTCTTCCTGTGAAAGGGCGTTCTTGGGCGGTAAGGGACTGACGACGAGCTGGAGGACCTCTTGCATGTATGTTGACGTGCAACCAATTTGACCTCCGACTACTTTGCTGGGATCGACTGTGGTTGTTGTCATGATGGTAGACAGCCCCAGGCAGCCAAGGCTGATGAGGAAGGGATAAATGTCGAAAAGAGTTGGTCGTGTCTTCATAATGCTGACATGGTGGACCCAGTCTGTCATGCGGACGTCAAAGTGCTGAGTATCAAAGATGCGAAGCCTGGCCAGAAGGGCACTGTAGGCATGCTGCTTCTCCGAGTCCTTCGCCCAACTACCCTCGAGACGCGTGACGACGGTGTGGAAAAGTCGGTCCATGGTAGGACGGTCGAGGCTCGTGCCGCCAGTGAGTAGCCTTTCAATCTCGTCGTTCAGCTCGCCCTCCGCATCCTGGAGGCGCGCAGCCATGTTGTCCGAGACTGGCGAGCAAGCGTCGATCGCTGTGCTTTGATCGATCTGTTGGAGCTCCTTTCGAAGGTGTGCTGACGTGTTGGCCAGGCCGGGGAGCCTGGAGGTCAGGGCTCCCAGTGCCACTAGCAGCGGTCTGACTCGAACTCCTTGCTCGTCGTTGACAATCTTCATTCTCTCGAGTAGCAGATCGCAGAGATTCCGTGCCACGTTCATTGCTGCGAAGGTAGCCAGATGGACATTGACTGTGTCGGCGCACGAAGCCAGTATGTCCGCATCAGGGAACCTGCTGGTCAACTTGATCATCTCGGCCATGGTCGTGAAATCCTTTGCTGCCTCCAGTATGGACCGAGCGTGGTTGAATGCCGTCGGAGAAAGATGAATGTCAGAGCTGGATTCGTACTCGTCCGTCTGAAAGGTCCGTAACAGTCGTGCGCCGACCTCAGTCTGCAACGCCCGGCTACTGTTGCTGACGGCACGGCATATCTTGGCCAGTGGCATCGGTCTCCTTTGTACTGGTGATACCTCTGCGTTGGACGAAAGGCCGAGAGCGTGACGGATAAAATTCCACGCGGCATCGATATCTCTGGCTTCCTCTGCAACATCGAATGCCGCGCGTCGCAGCAAGTTTGCGCGGGTCGCGATCAATGATGAGCTAAGCGCGCTCAGCGGCAAGTCGATGAGCAGTCTCGTAGAGCAGGGAGCATCGGGTTCGGTATCTAGCGAAGACGTCATTCCCCCGCGACCCATGAGCCAGATGATGTACTCTCGAACGTTGAACTGGCCAGTTCTGACAAGTTCGGAAATCAGCTGGTAAAATAACCGCTTTGGGATCGCCCCCTGAGGAGGTGCAGCGCCGATGGACTCAAGGATCGCCGTGGTGATATCGACACCGGTAGAAGCCCAGGCGCGGAGCAAGCTTGCAGCAACATATATCCTGGCTTGTCCAGGACGGTAAAAGGAAGTCGACCATTCAAGGACGGTTCTCACAATCATTCGCTTGTCCTCGCTGACATTCCAGCAACTCGATGCCAATTCGTTCGTATATAATGTCTGGAATGTCGTGTCGAGCTGTTTAATAAGGATCTGGCGGTTCGCCAGTTGAGACTTGCCATTTGAAGCAATGAGTATTTCGTTTCGTGAGTTGAGGGCTTTGTAGGCGCTCAGAACGGCATCGTTGTCTATGGGAATAGAAGCAAGGAGGGTTTCTCGACAACGAAGCACGTCGTGGGTGATAAGAAGTTGTCTGGGTAAGAAGAGAGCAAGGGCAGTAGGAGTGAGGTGAGCTTGGTGGAGAGCTGCGCTAGAATGTCGCGATCGGGGTCGTTCTGGATCTTGAATGGGTCATCAGTACATGTTCTTCCACAGAGAGAGGTGAACGAGTGATATACCGTGGTGAGGTGGCTGAGTAGAGCATTCGCTAGGCGGCGGCCGTGTCTGCGAAGACGAAGCAGGTCCTTCCAGTATATCTGACTGATCAGAATCCACATGGGTAGCTTCGACTGGGTGCTGTTTTCGAGGCCGCCGACCAGCCAGTCCATGTAATGATCGCGGTCGACTAGGTGTTCAGCGTACAGGTGTGTAGCCAGACGTATGCTACAAACGTTGGTCAGTAACATCTCCCAGGGTTTGAAGTGAGGAAGAGGAAGAACCTACGCATACTGCACCCTGGCCTTCCAGTCAACCTCTCCGAAAGCAGATGCAACGCTCTCAACAAATTGCTCGACATAAAGGGTCCAGTCCTTCAGCCACTTGGCCTCGCCGCCATGACGACTGTACCGTTTACGCCCTTTCTCTTGACGGTCCTCAAATCATTGGCGCCAACACAACGGACCAGCCACACTGCACGCTCTGTAGGTACGTTCTTGCTGAGACAGTGATCGAGAAGACCTTTACCGCGGATTCCGTGAGGAATGGTTCGACTCAGTCGACGAAGCGAGATGGCCGGGTTCGCCAGATCGCGCATCCAGACCTCCCGCTTGGTATCGGTAAGGGTGACGCGAGGTGGAGGCTTAAACGCCGAGGGCGCGACGACCTGTCCGTTGTGTTTCCTCTGGTTGAGAACACCGACAAAAATACTCGACAGGAGGTTAAGACCGTTCTTGTGCTTCAGAGCTGGAAAGATGGCAGGCTTCGCTGAGGTCGTCTCGGCCTGGGTGACGGGTGCCTTGTCGAAGTAGCCATTCTTGATAACAGCATCAGACAGGCGGTCCTCTGGGTGATTGCCGGTCCACGAGAAGAAGTCCGCATTGCCCATGGAATTCC